TCCGCAGCGCTGCCCGGGGCCGGGCCCACCCGCAGAGCGGCGGCGCGGAGGGGCGAGCAGGCGGGGCCGCCCGGTGCCCCGCGAACAGGTGGGCGTGCGGCTGCGGCCGCCGTGTGCCCCCCGCCCCGTCCCGTCCCGTCCCCGGTCACTCACCCGGGCGGGATGCGCGTCCTGCGGAGGGCGGCGGAAGTTTGCGGTGGAATAGCGCTGTTTTGCGTTTGGTTTGGGTTTGGGGTTGTTGTTTTTTTCTTTCCCCCTCCTCTCCGGGGGGAAAAAAAACAAACTCGACCACCGAATCGAGCGATTCCCCCCCCCCGCCCCTCCACCGCCCGGGGCTTCCCGCCGCGCTCAGCCGTGCGTCGGACCGGCGGCGAGGTGAAGTTTCCACCGCGGTGGCGGAGGCTCCCCCGGCGTGCCGCGCCCGCCCCGCATTGGCACCGGGCGCCGGGGCGCTCCGTGCCGCCGCCGCCGCCCGGACAATGTGCGTGCGGGGGGAGCGCAGCGGAGCGGGAGCGCGCCCCGCCGGCGGCCGCGGCACACGCCCAGGCTGCCGGCCCCGCCCCGCCGCCACTCACGGCCGCCCGCCGGCCCTGATAGGCGGCCCCCGCCGCCTCCGCCCTCCGGGTGGGCTGCTCCACCCGTCAATCATCCACCGCGGCCCGCCCACCCGCGGCCTGGCTGTGGGGCGGTGGCGCTGCGGCCGGCCGGCCTGTGGCGCTTGGGGCCTGTCGCCGACGCGCCGCCTGTGGGGGGCTCTGCGGGCGGCCCCGCGGGTGGGGCGCTCCGACTGCCACGGGGCTCCCCTGAGCCTCCTCTTCTCCTGACTGAACGCTCCCGGTTCCCTCAGCCGCTCCCCGTCAGACTTGTGCTCCTGATCCTTCTCGGTTTCGTTGCCCTACTCTGGACGCGCTCCAGCGCCTCGATGTCTTTCTTGTAGCGAGGGGCCCCAGACTGAACGCGGGGCTCGAGGTGCGGCCCCACCAGTGCTGATCACCACAGTGCTCCTGCTGACTGCACTGTTGCTAATACGTGCCCAAGCTTTGAGGCAGGACTGCAGAATATGGCTCCAAATAAAGTCTGTGCTCCTGGTACTGCAGAAATGCTGTTCGCTCTGATGCAATTCTCAACCACATCACCACTACTGATTGTTTCCATTAGAAAGGTATCTGCTAATCTGAAAATGGATCTAGAAGCCATTGTTCTAGATACTGCCGTTGACACAGTAAAAAGAAAGCTCATGCCCTGCAGAGCTCAGGGCTGGAACAGATGAAGCAAGCTGTGAGGACACCTGCTGAGAAGCCGTACAGGTTTTTTCAGGTCTCACAGACTGTTGCAGCAGCACAAACGAACTTGCTGGAGCACTTTCTGTAAGCCGGAACACAAACAGACAGGTCCGAACAAAGAGGACGAAGCTTCAGCTTACCTTGAGAATATTTGCAGGCTTCTAACAAGACCTCCTGCTTCGGAACAACCTCTCTGTTCTCCACAAAGCCAAGAAGTGCAGCTTGCAGAAACACGGCATCTCTCCCATGCAAGCCAGCAGCAGCGGCACGCACAAAGGTGATGGGTCTCTTCACAGGCAGGCACACGTACACACGGCGCACCGCCTCTCTGCACTGCCTGTCTCATCTTGTCTTCGCCCTTCTGGTGAGCATGCAGGTACTGGAGCATACAGGGATCTTGCATTTTGCACCCTGCAAGTAAGTTGTTTCTCAGTACCTAAGTGGCCCAGGACTGATCAGGGAGCAAAAGACCCAAATAGGCAGGATAATAGATGAGTGTAGTAGACAAAGCTCTCAGAGAGCAGTGATGCACTGTCATAGGCTGCCCAGAGCAGCTGTGGATGCCCCGTTCCTGGAGGCGTCAAGGGCAGGATGGATGGCTCCTGATCTGAGTGACAGCCCTGCCTATAGCACGGGGATTGGAACTGGGTGGGCTGTAAGGTCCTTTACAACCTCATGCATTCTATGACCCTATGAAAGCTATGGGCGAACCTCATGCTTCTTGGACTTCTCGCTAGCCTACATGTAGCAGGACACATCAGAAGAAGGGGCTGAAGCTGCCTCTTGCTCATTCTTCAGTGCTGTGATCACATTAGGACATAAGATACCTGAGGACTACTTGTTGTTGGCAGGCTGCTGAAAGACAGTAGCAGAATCACCTATTGGTGACTCATAACCACACATAGGGTTGATGACATAAACTTGTGAGGACACTGAGAGTGGTATATCTTAAGTATGCCTGACACTACCACCCCCCCCATCTCTTTTTTGATAAAAAGACAAAGTGCTGGTATAAGTTGCTGCATCTTATGCATCTTTGCATCTCAGCAAAGTTGCTGCAGACAGCATAGCTCCATTGCTTTTGGCAGAGCTAGACGGATTTACACTTGCTGAGGATATAGCTCATTCTGTGCATAACGAATAATTCTTCCTGGTTATATTCTGGCTTTTTTTCTTTTCTTTTTTTTTCTTTTCTTTTTTTTTCTACAGGGGAATGCTTCTAGAAGAGAGAATCCTCTTATTTAAGCACAGGAGCAATGCCGCAGCAACAGCAGTGCAAATTGTACCACAGATAAGCTGGCAAGGTTGTTAATTATGCTAACTAAACTCCCCCAGTTTGATATCTCCAGCAAACTCCTCTGCCCACCCACAGCTGCCCAGTGCAGCTCCTGTGCTCTATGGCAAACCTCTAGGCAGGTGCAGAGAAATATGTACCTCTCTAGAAATGCTGCAGTGGTACTAACTATTGCAAGCCTTTCTTGTCAGGAAAGGAAGACTAGTCTAACTCTGAGCCCACTGACACACAGTGCAATAAAAAGGAAATGGGAAGAGCATCACAAGATCCTTACTGCCACACTAGTGTTGTCAAAACCGAACCTGCAGTGGGGTTGAAGAGCTGCTCTGTCATTCCAGTGCCTCAGTTTTAACTCATCATCTTCACCAAACTGTAGCATGCATGTAGGAGGCCATAACTCACGGACTTCCTTCTCCCATCAATAGTCATGTGACGTTTTAAAACAGCAGTCTAAATTCAGCCCTGGAAAGATATGTTACTGATTTCTGTCAGAGCTGTGAGCCCCCCAAAAAATAATTCCTTGATGTTGTCATTTCCTCTTCAATCTCTGCAAGAAGGAGGCTACTGTGACATGAAAACATACAAACATAAGTTTGTAAAATTGAAACTTATGCCACAAACTTAAACAACTGAACTCGCTCATCAGGTCAAGGCTATCCCCAAGAGTTTTGAGATGTTAATCTTTTTTAGAGGTTTCTCTAGTAAGACCACCCAGGTTATTGCCAGCTTGAACTCAACTCTCTTCTGCCCTTTAAAAAAAATAATAATAATAATAATAATAAATAATTTAAAAAAAAAAAAAAAATGAAAACTTCTTGTGATCATCAATATCACCAGCAAAGCAAACAACTGCACTTTCGTAGCTTCACAGGGATATCTGAATACATCCAAATTTTGTTCTCAGCAAAAATATCTACACGAAGGCCAGCTGAAGGGTATAAGTTCTCAGTAGGCAGAGGGCAGATGAGTGGTGTCGGGTTCCTTTGGTTGTTTTCCTGCATCTTTTGTTCCTTTGCCATATCCACAATCTCACCTAGCTTTGCCCTAATTACATAGAGTACTTCCTGGTTCCTTCTGTGCCTTTTGTGTTGTCTCTACGTTCACATAGTCTGTTGGAATGTTTTTCTGGATGCACTTTCTTTCTCTCTGTAATTGAAACTTTCTTGAAGTGTTCAGAAGGAAGATTCTATCAGTGTGCTCTCCATATCATTATCTCTGAGAGCATGCTGAGAAAAGCAGAGATTCTGACGTGCTTTCCCACAGCACCATATTCTTCATGATTATTTAATTTATTCTTTCTGCAGACACACCAGGCTCGATAAGCCTTCAGGTACTTCTGTGCTGGGATGTAGATCTTGCTCATCTCTTCCGGAGCTTCAGGGATAAGTAGTGTCAAGGCAGAAAGAAAACTGATACATGACAGAATTTGAAAATTTTGAGTTTTCTAGAGGGTGCAAATTGTTTCCTTTTAGAGCCGGATAGTGCAATACAAGTAACTTGCCATGGCAGCCTGCTTACGAGACAGAAAAAGGTGAGAACCACCAGGTGCTTTGTTACTGTAGCAAGGGAAGAGGCAGAGACCTTACCGTTTTTGGTCACTAATGAGCAGCACACCATCTAGTAAGTTGTCAGCCGAAGTTCATGTTGTATTTGATGCAAGCTAGCTGATGTGTGAGCCTCTTTGATACTTGGATCAAAACTGAAGTGCGGTCAGAAAGAAAGAAGGAAGTGCTCAGAAGAATTGAAACAAAGCTGGATTCTCAGAAGCACAAGGCCTAATCCATATCCGCAACAAGCTGACGCAACTCTGCAGATGCCAGTAAGTGACAAACCTTTTTCTACAGAAATTAATTTGGCTTCCACTCTCTGGCAGTCTCAGTTCTTTTCCCAATTTCTTTCAAGAAAACTCAGCTCTGCAGATCTGGAAGTATTCTGAAGTTATCTGGGACAGAAGATGGCATAGGCTAGTGGAGTCTGTGTTCACATCCATTCTCTTTACAGAGATGCTTCTGGGAAGGGCAGACTTCCTGGCAGCTTACTTGTATTAGTGAGAGAACTGAGAAAAGGCAAAGTGAAGTGGTTAAGGACAGTGAGGGGAAACCCTCCTTGGTGTCACTGTGCAAGGAGAACAAAACTCATCTCTGTTAGCTCAGAAGAGGATGACTGTGAAAGCTGCTATATGTGCAAGAGTTCCTAGAAGCCAATGTGCTTAAGGTAGGCTCATTTGTTAAAAATTAACAGGCCTAGGATAAATAGAAAATGTTAGCTTTACACCCAAACTGGAAAGGATACCTTCTGGAGGAGAGTCTTCAAAAGTGAAAGAAAAACAGAAAGTTTCTTAATCCCTAGGCTACTGACGTGAGCTATAAGTAACATTGCTCCCATTGTGCAATGGCGTAAATAGGTGCTTTCCCTTTTTGCTTTAAAAAAAATCTATCCCAGTTAATGTTTAGCTTGTTGATATAGTATATCAACATATATAAACATATAAAGTATTTTGGAATAGCACAGTTGATATAATGGTTAAAAAGTGGTGAACAGTGAGGAATGGCAACCTTCTGGGCTGAATTTACAGGTAAGACTGCTGTGGCTCCTGGACCATCTTTGTCTAACTTCTCAGTGAGCTGTAGAGAAAATACTGCTAGCTCACAAGCCCCAGCAATATTATGGCTTGGAAAGCAGCCCCTGAGAGAAGCTCTTAATGTATTAGATAAATCTATACAGGCATGCAAGGCTATAGCTTACTCCTGACAATGAATTGTTACACTGTGAGTGACTGTCTAGAGAAACACGATGGGGGAAATCAGAGTCTACTCTTCACTATAATTTACTATAATTTGTAATTTCTACACTGTCTTTTAGAGAATGGGAAAGGTATGCCAGTTTATCCTTACTACATGTTGCACTGAAGGAGACACAGGCACAACAGATGTCATTAATATGTACCATCATCCCAAGGGTGTGGGGCTCACAGAAATACCTAAAACTTGGAACAGAAGTGCAACTGAGAGATGACACAGAGGAAAAAGACCAGTGAGTCCTGGTATTGTTATTTTTTTAAAGACAGACGCTGAGCAGAACTGATTTCCTGTAGTAATCAATTAACCAAACCCTGAATTAATTCATTAACCATCAATCAACTGACAAAACCTTCCACTCATATTATCTCCAAAAATGTGACATTGCTTCAGATGACCCAACCGGTGAGTGAGCCCACTTTGTTTTTAAACCTAAAAATTACAGCATTATGGATGGATTAAATTCTACTAAGTAAAGCGCTCGAGTTTCTTTTAACTGAATCATTTGAAAACATTGCAGAAAATTCTGGTTAGCTATAGCAAAATCATCAGTCTTGGAGAGTACTGTAGTCCATGATAGGATCTTTCTCATGGATTTCTTGTTTGCAATAAGCACAAAAATTCACCCAGCACCTTGCCAGGTGCCTGACCCAAGCCCTGCAGAGCTAGAGAAAGATTCCTATTGACTGAATTGATTTTGCTGCCAGTTGGATTTGATCGATTATAAACTGAATATAGAAACTCACAGATACGAGATGTTCTGCTGTCATAGAAGGTAAAGGCTTTGTAATCACTGCTTGTCTTCCGCTGTCTAAAAACACAAACAACTGCAGATTCTTGTTTTATATTTAGAAAACAACAGCAATTCCCATACAGAAGTGGACATAATTAAAAGTCTGGTCAGTTCTAATGGGCCAGTCTCCTCGTAGGAGTAAGAATCATATCTCCCTTATACATGATATGCAGTATTTGATAATGTGAGACCCTCATCTGTGAGGGCAGTGGGGTATCTGGATTTCACATTCTGCTGGTGGGGAGGGGGATGGGATATAAATCCGACGTGTAAGTTTGACACTAATGAGAAGTAATGTTGCTCTCTACAGTTGTGGCCCAGTCTGAAGCACACTGCCTTCTACAGAAAGTGTCCCCTTTGCTCCAGCAGGTGTTTGCTCAGGTTTATAGCAAATCTTTTTGAGTTTTGTGTTATTTCACAAGTACTGCAGCTGATCACACAATGAGTTTGGAGCCTGAGATACTTAGAAATGATACAGATTCCTTCATGAAATGCTCTCCCCAGGTGAGGGTGACTAGAATTAATAAGTATCCCGTGTCCACTTCGACTTAATCCCAGGCCTCCCCAGGACCAGCAAGGGTCAGATAGGGCAGGAGGTCTGGTAAGGTAGGAATCCACAAGTTAAGGGCCATGCTGACTTTCCTGGCAGTGGTTTGCTGGCATGAGCACAAGAGATTTTGCTTGCTCTCTGCTTCAGTCAAATGTCAATCATTCTCTTGGAGCCTGATTGTCAGATCACTGTATAGAAAGGGAGGCTCTTGCCCTCACCTTCATACAACAACAGCTCAGGTCTCTGAGAGTAGAAAGCTGTATTTTTTAACAAGCCCTCACAATACTTAGTCCCCTCGTGATTTTCCTTTTCAAACTCTTCAGAGAAGTTTGAACACTCACACACCAACAGTTTCTTTTTGGGACAGCTCGGATCACTTACCATGCTCTGGGTCATCTATGTCACTTGTGCTGACAGGAGCCAGTCTTCCAGGCATGGAAAGCAGTTGGGTTGCTAAGGGATGTCTTGCTTTCTCTGTCATTTCTGCATTCACTGATGTGTGACAGATTTATCTTTGTGGAGTTCAAGGCTTCCCTATAGCAGATGAGTGAATCTGAAACTTGAATCTGAAACCATCCTCTGTTCTCCTGGAGGACACGCTAAAACTATTCTCACTTCTTTAAAAATAATCTTCTTACTCCTTTGTCAATTAGTACAGAATTTCTTCCTCTCTGCACTGCGGAACAGTTGTTAACTACATCTGTTTCTCAGAGATTTCAAAGCAGTGTTGCACAGCATGCAGCCACAGTAAAACTAAGTAGAATTAAAGACATTGGTGTTTGTTCAGTTAAACTACTTGTTTCTTTTCCTCTGATTGCTTTTTAATGTGCCAGCTGCCCTTTGTCTCTAGCCCTGCCATGCTTCCCTCCCTCTCATCATCAGACTCAAGCTGCTTATCCTTTTCTTTTCTGCCATGTCCTTCATTGATTTCTGTTTTTCTATTTTCCACAAGGAAGAAGGAATGGGCTGCCCAAGGAGGTGGTGAGGTAACAGTCTCTGGAGGTTTCAAGAAAAGGATGGCTGTTGTATTGCATGACATGGCTCAGTGGGCATGGTGAGGATGAGCTGAAGGTTGAACAAGATGATCTTAGTGGTCTTTCCAATCCTAATTATTCCATGATTGTATGTTTAGGAGCCCCAGACCTTGGTTCCCAGACCTACTGTAAGGTTTCTCTATTATGATGTCCTAAGCAACTTGCTGCTAATTTCTTCTTTGGCCTCCAGCTCTTGACTTTGCCTTTTCCACTCCCAGTGTACTTCTGCTGGGGAAATACTGAGACTGATGTACCATAACACCAATTAGAAGTGTGACGCAAATCCAAGTGATTGACTGAATTTTAGCCATTGACTGTGAAAGCAGAGTAAGCTAATGTTAATCTACAGATGTTGTATTAACACTGAGAGTTTTCCCAGTCCTCATTAGCAATACACTTTGATAAGGGTAGAAAGTGTTAGCTATGGTTTCCCTTCAGTAAGCTGTTTAATCACCAGAGCTTACTGGCAGTGGGATTTGGGAGACTTAGGCGATCACAAAGTGTATTAAGAGTAATACAATACTCTCTAGCTTTCCTGTGATATCGCATGGAGGAAAGAATGGACTCAGGGCTGCTCTGTTCCCTAATTTAAGAAGCTCTAGTGTGTTTCAGGCACTGTGTGGGGGGTGAGGACTGGGCCAGAAGCTTCTGCCTCCTTAGCCAAGATCTTCCTCATTTTTAGGAGCGTACTTCTAACAGCTCTCCTGCAGCTATCAGCACATGCCGGTGGACTTGTTATAGCACGTTGAACAGCACATTCTTGCTGGCTCACTGGGGTCTGATCCAAAGCTTACTGCAGGCAATGAGGAAGATTCATAGACTTCTTCAGTGGCCTTTGGACTGTCCTGTGGATACAGAAGCACGATGGCTGGTAAGTACATGCATGAGAGAACTCTGTTTCACTCCAAAGAGATGGCAAAAGAGATTCTGCATTCCAAATCTGTACATCCTGGAACAGTAAAAGCCAATATGAATCCTACTTAATCCTACTGACTCAAAATCACTTTCTCCCTCAGTTTCTGAATCATCTGCAACTCAGCCTTTTTGAGGTTCTTAGGTAATGGGATGAGAAGAGTGCTGCATCTGAGGTCATTCCCACATGCACTGATTTCCAGTCACTTTTAAAATGCTTTCTATCACCGAGCAGCTCTCGTGTAAAGATCTCAGACATGAAGTAATCCTTCCAGCACTTCTAGAGAAAAGCTAGCAGCCATTAAACCTGTTTTACAGGTGGGTGGGCTGAGCTCCAGTCTGACAGAGATCACAAAGCGCGTTTAAGGCCAAACTGCCTGAGCTGCCACGTTCCCACAGCAGCGATGACCGCTCAGGGGGAATATTAACCTCCTTTGTTAGAGTGCCCAGGCAGAGGGGAGGGCCACGCGGTCTGCTGCAACTCCACTTGTGTACATGCACACATGACTACAAAGTAAATAAAACTAGCTGGCCTCGTGCCTTGAAACCGGGAGTCCCCAGAATGAAGGCTTAGTGTATGGTAAACCAACATGCTGTGCTCAGCCCTTCGTGCTGAGCCATCAGGCAGGAGGGAAGGTAAAGCTCAGGCCGGGTGCTCATTCCTGAGTCACCTTCTTCAGCATTTGTTATTGCCTAGAGTGTTAGCTTGCTGGATAATAAATGACTTCATTCACTGCAGCAGTGAGGACACTATTAAAAATTAACTCTGGCAAATGGCCTCGCGTATTTTTCAGACAGAGGCAGACAAGGGAGAAGAGGAAAAGAGTGTTGTTGAAATCTGGTTTGCAGAAAGGGCAAGTGTTGAGTTTTATTAATGTAGTTAGTTCAGGCTTCAGTTTAGTAAGTGCTGTTGCTGGCAATTGATGATCAAAATTCCAAGAGCTTAAGGAGCTTTGTAAGCTTAAAAACAATCTGAATAGAGAAGATGCAATAGCCATATTGTAAGGCAGGTCAAAGAGTAAGATAAATGTGGATTACTTATTTGAAGCATAATGTTTCACTTGTTTGCAAAAATAAATGATTTTATTACTTGGATGTTACTACCATACATGTGTAATATGATGTGTAATGAAAAACAAACTTTTGCTTCAGGTATTGCACCATTTTCTCATGGTACCACACTTATAACCATATACTATCCATGATAGCATGCAGAGTATATTTACCAAAATGGAAAGCTTGCATTAAAAATTGGAGGAACTACGCCAGCTTGCATATAGATCCCTCATTTTCCTGGCTTCTCTTGCCTCCAGCACCCACACAATATCCATCAAATTGTCTCAAGACAATCCCAGGCTGCATTCTAAGCAAACGTAGGGCTTGGGCAAGATGCCAACCTGCTAGGCTCAGAGCGGGGAGTTCTGCCTGTGTGCACCCTCCCACTCCCACAGCCTGCATGCTGCAATTCAGTGCAGAGGAGCTCAGCTTTCAGCTCAGCAAAAAATCTCTCAGTGCTCCTTGCTCCCTTTGTGTCACTCAGAGAAAGGGATGTGATCTGAAGCTTGCTGGCGCTGTTATTAATGAACCCACTGATGACAGAATGTCCCTCTTGTTCTGAGAGCAGAAAAATAAACTTCAAGTCCACCACTAAACCTTATTCAGATGGCTTTGATATAGCAGCAAGCAGCGTGCCCCATCCTGAGCCCAGGGTTCCCAGAACATCTAACAGCTCAGTCCGTAGATGGCTTGATATCCATGGGGAGGCTGGAGTGTAACATAAGCTGCACTGCCAGGTGCAGTGACTGTGCAGGCAGATCTGCCTGCTGGCTGCCATGCTTCTCCCAGAAGCATACCACAGTTGTTGATATCATATTCTGTGCTGCAATATGATGGCACCTATCGAAGGGCCCAGGGGTGCTCTGCATGTACCACATCACCTGGCTGTGTCTGTGTGCCACAGGTATTTGTAACCTTTAGGGTTCATTGTGCAGGCAAGATGCTATAAAGTTCCTGCATAAGAAGGGTTAAGAATTTCCTGGCTGAAGGCACTCAGTTATTGCTGTGACCAAGTTGGAGACTTTTCCTACTCCAATCTCTTTCCTTACCTGCTGCATTCCAGTGGCTTGTGCACCTTCAGCATCTGCCTTCCACGGAGCTAGCTGGTAAACAGTGAGCACAGCTGAATGCTGCACACCTGTGTTTCCACTGACACTTAAGGAAATGTGCTCTTTCTACTAGTTTAACCCTGTTAGCTAACCCTGACCTGCTCCTGCAGAGAATAATCAACTGATTACTTAGAAATTAGCTAGCTGCCACTGTTTGGTGTGCAAGATGGCTGTGAATGGTTAATGAATGTCCCTGTGATAGCCCAGCTACTGCATGGCATCAGGAGTGACTGCTGTGGGTCCTCAGAGAAGGACAGGTTTGTGATGATGTGGTATGAGATGTTAGGGAGTGCCCACATTTCGCATCCCCGCTTGGTAGTATTTTAGATGTGTATATCCATACTGGCCTCCAGTAAAAAACTACCTGAGCCAAACATGGTATACAGATTAGTAGATCTCTGAGAGGAGCTGGATTTGAATTATCCATTTTATTCTTGGTTTTTCTGAAATGTTACTGAAACACATGAACTTTTGCTCATCTCAGTGCATGGCATGAGTCACGTCTCAGCATCCCATTGTACCAGAAACAGTCACATATAAATCCAGCAAAGGTTTGCCCCCTTTATATTTTCCAAATGTTCAGATCCAAATTGGAAAGGAAATGGTCAAAAGCCCCTCTCTGTTGCTACCGGGGGTGGGCAGGTCTGGAAGTGCAAGGTCTTTGCTTGGGCTGTAGGAAGTGAGTGGAGATGAGTCACAATATTGCAAGACAGTCCTACAGACAACAGTAGTTTGTAGTCATGAGATGCTTCCATTCTTATTTCTGTTTTCTGCTGCAGGGATGTGCATGGGTGGAAAATTCAGCTCAGGAATTAGGAGTTTCTGATAAACCACTGCAAGGGTTTACCCCAGGGTTTCTTTTACAGAGTTTCAAGTAAAGAGGATGCTGGGATGGAGTGTTCAGCTAGCAGTGTAATCATGCAGTGATGAACTGCAGAGTTCACAGCCAAAGAACTGATCTGCAAGCAATGCTGGAGGCCCCACAGCAGACAGCATGTCATGTCCACTACCATGTGCTGTATCCTTGAAAGCAGACTGTCAGGTGGGGAGCTGGAGGTAGGTGTGAGATTTGCATGAACTGTGATGTTTTCTATGGTTCAATACTCTGAAATACCACATGAGCAATTGTCTTTGTTTCACGTGGTATGCTGAGATATGTAACAGAGTTAACTTGTACTGACAGCGTATAAAAAGTACAGGAGCATACCAATAATCCATCTTCTGTCAGCACTAATCTAACTTAGCTGCTGGAATAACAAAGTACACAGTCCTTTTTCTAAGCACACATTATGCAAAGTCAGAGCCGGGGCTGTAAGGAGGATATTTGGAATTCAAGCCTCTCCTGTCATTTTTACAACATGGAAACATACTTCCCTCTTTATAAGCATAGGCTTCCTTCTGCTAGCTAGCATTGATGGGGAAGTTATGCAATTCAGTGACCCAAATACAGAAGAATCCCTAGGCTTTCCAAAAAGACTTCCAATGGGAAAGGGAACATGAGATCCTTAAATTTTAGGGAAAATCCCAACACGGGATGGTGGTGGATTGCCTTATTTTTCATTCCTGTGAAGCTTTTGCTGGACTCAGATTCAGGCTGTGCACTACAGAATGGAAAGCAGAAGCAGATGTATAGAGTCAAGGGTTTCTTTGACAGAGCAAATAGGAAGCCCGAGCCCAACCATTTTTGTCTTTGCTCAATTCATTCATCACAGCCAAGCCAAAAGCAAGCACAAATTGCTGAGTAGACTGTGGAGCTGAAATGCCCCAGGGACCATTCGGAATGGCATTTGAGGCAAAAGAAGCAATTGGCTCCTTTGTATGTGAGGATAGAGAGTCACATCCCCTCAGATACAGACATTAGGATGACACAGGTGTGCATGGAAATGTTCAGGAAGGGCATGCAGGGTTTTTTCCAGCCCAAACGTACCCTGCAGAACTGCCTGACAGCAAATCTACATGCTGGTTTCCTCCCTGTGCTGCTGGACACTATGTCCTGGGACTTGTGAAGTACTTTTGTCAAAGCTGTTGTTTGTAGTGTGGCTTCTAGCAGTGCTTTTGGGAGTGATGGCTGAAAGCCTGGGTGTACATGAGTTGCATGCAGAGTAAGCTTAGAACTTTGCAAAACAGTGCAAACAAGCAGTGAAATTGCCTGCAGACTGGTGCTTTGAACTGATTAATTTTTTTAAAATGTCCAGTTTCTCCACTGCTTCACACTGTGCGTTGTCACACTGATGGCAAGTGAATATAAACCTTTCTGATTTGGTGGCATTTTGTGGTGGCTTTGCACTAGCACAAAAAGCAAGCAAATGCTGCAAAGCTGCTGCTTCACTGCTTGAAGACAGCCCGACAAATTTCACAACTAATGCCTGCCTGGCAAAACAGAACTATTAACACAGTGAGTTCACAAGTTTTCCTCACACTGCAGAGAACAAGTGCTGCTCCTGAAAAACTATGGCAAAACAGACCTTGACCTTAACTTCTTTCCAACACCAGTTCATTTTTCTCTTAGTATAATGTTGGAAACAAAGTTGTAACTCGGTCATTGACCGTGGAATTCATCCCAGAAGAAATGCAAAGACCACCAACAATGTGGACCAGGTGTGAATTATAAATAGCATCAACAAGAGGCTTTTGGTGTCCCAAGTGCATTAACTCCACAGCCAGCAGTATTCCTTTTATATTTTTATTGTAAGCCAACCATTTTTAAGCCATCTCAATAAGACTACATCTTGCTTGGGATTTGTGAACAGTGAAGACTGTAATTTAAATGAAACCCCTCTAGTAGTACTAAGTTTTAACAAGTTTTGTATCTACCAATTATTTAGCTAAAATGATTGTCTGTATGCTGTAGGATGGCTCTATTTACATCCTGTGCAGTGGGACATAGCCTGGAAGAGCAGATGTGTGCAGATAACAACCCTAGGCTCCTCAACACTGGAAATGATTTGTCAAAAAAGAAGAGGAGAAAGGCAGATGTCCTTCAAGAGAAACACGAAACAACGATCTTTATTTTATACACAGACATTTCAAGTTAACGTTGGTTCATCTTGAGTCATGAATGATATAAGCAAGGGAATTCAAGCATGCTTTCCAGGCTCTCAACATACACTTTTTTCATATTTAGAAAAATTTTGTTTCCCTCTTCCTAAAATGGGTCAGGAGAGAAATCCTCTCCTTATGTATGTATGTATTTATTTATTTATTTACAAATCCCAGTTACAACTAAGACAGAATTAGGAGATAAGCCCTGCTGGAATTGGGATGTTATGACTTGTCATTTTAGGTGTTAATACAGTGCCCCATTTCACTTTTGTTACTTCATGTCTTTCACTCTGATCAGTTGCCTCAATCATACATGAACGCAGCCATTTCTGGGTAGAGTCATTTTGTCACAAGCCAAATTCTATCTTTCTAAAACAATAATGCAAAGGGGGGAAAAAAAACCCACTAACCTGGCATTGGCACTGGGGATTGCTTGAGTGTAAGTGGAATTCCATTGGAGTTTCTTCCTTGCAGCAAAGCTGAACCTGCTCAATGCTTAGGTTAAAGAGACATCCCCGCAGTACAAACCAGCAGCATCACATTTAAAGCTTGCTGTTAGCTTCCCTTTTCTCTAAGAAACCATCCTCTGTTGGAAGGTGCAGCTTGCTGCCTTTTATTACTTTCCAGTCAATAGTAGGGACAAAGAAAAATCATGACTGCCAACGTTTCACTGTGAGTTAAAATGCTCAAAAAATTTAGTTTTTTTTTTTTTTTCTTTTTTTTTGTTTTGTTTTTTTTAGGTCTAGTTCAGCTTGAAAAGATACAACTTTGTGTGAAATGCCATATGTTGCCTGATGAAGCTTTCCTGTAAGGTTGTACTTCATGAAGCCTGTGAAAAGGAGCAAAAACAAATGCTTGGATCTGGTGAGTCAGAGAAAATGTTTTTTAACTGGATCATCTCACTGCCCTTTCTTTTCATGCCAGATGCAGCTACAGCAAAATAAATTCAATTCACAGATTTCTGTCTTCCTCTGGATCTTTGGATCAGTTCTAACTCCCACCCAGTCTCATTCATTGCTTCTGATGATGGTATCCTGAGCACCTGCTGTGAGCAAAATTTTTCTTACATCATCTTATGAACACAGTGACTTCAAACATGTGAAATCATGAGGTTAATACCACACCCAAGGCTTCAAACAAGGCCCTTTCCAGGTGTCTTGGCTGAATTTTTGAAAATGCTGTGGTAATTTCTAGTTCTTGATCAACACAAGAATTACCAAAGGTAGAAAGTGTTCTGCCGTACAAGAACATGAAAGAATGAGAGAATGCAGAGCAGCAGTCTGAATGGGGGAAGTCAGAACCACAGTGTAAATTATTCTCACCTTAGATTTGATTTTTGCCTTGTATAAAATGGTAGTGAATATATTTGTTCTGCATTAACTACTTGCAATAATAAACTTTTGGAGGCACAGTTTTTACCATATCTGATGTATTTTAGCTGGTAGTGTTAGCTGCATTGACACCTTTTTTTGATAAAAAGTATGAAAATTTGAAAATCAAATCAGAATGGGGCAAGCTTGAAGATATCCCAAATATGGAATGACAACAAAATTCCCGTTCCTCTGCTTTCAATCCACATCATAGAATCATAGAATTGCTCAAGTTGGAAAAGATCTTAAAGATCATTGAGTCCAACCACAACCTTAACATACTACCTAACTAACAACCCTCTGCTAAATCATGTCCCTGAGCAAATGTATAACACTGTGGCAGTAATGAAAACTGGATACTCAGAAAATGGAGTTATCCAGGGATAAAGCAAAATTTCAGGAGTTTAATACACTAATTTGGCACTGAGTAATTTCTGCCTTGCTGAATAAGAAGAGGAAGAATATCTTAAAATCATCACATTTGGGATGATATAAGAATAGGGATTACACACACCCATCAGTCTGAACCTCAATAGCACGTAATGTTTTAAAAGAAAATTTAACTGAAAGCATAATTAAAGACAATGGAAAACATGGCAGGAGTTTCCCAAGGGTGGATTACAGCCACCCCTTGTAATGGGGCTGGTGGGAAGGAAAGGTTGTGCTGAAATGGAGAACATCTGAAAGTCTGCAGTGAGAGTTCTTCTGGGCAATAGTCATCTCCTCTTCTGTTAGTGCCCTTTGAAAAAAGCACAGAAGCATGCTAATGATGTTTGATAATGATTAAGCTGCATCATCAGAGGAAGGCTGGAAAAAGGGGACAGAGCAATAAGAATAGAATAAAACGTAGAGATAAAAAGTGCAAGGTCACACACTTACTTACATGAAGTTGGGACTCCCACTCCCCCAGAGAGGACAAAAACCGAGAGGAGCCTCACCTCAATAGCTTATGATTACAGATGACCAATTTGGTGTGACCTTGATAACGCCATCTCAGGATATACCAGACATGGCATTTCCAGCAAGATAGGATAGTATATATTCCACCATATAAGACACGTGGAGTAAAGCCTGCTATTCTGGTCACCCACCTTCAAGGGAAAAAAAGCTAGAAAAGAAAAACCAGGGTGATAATAAAAATTGTGAACTTGCCTCTAATGATGGAAGATTTTGAGTTTGGCTTGTATGACTTAGCAATATAAATGTCAAGACGAGATGAGAGCAGGCCCTATAAATATATCAGGAAAACAAATATCAGAGAGGAGTTATTTTTAGCTGGAAAATATTTTGGCAAAAGAACAGATAGGTATAAACTAGCAATAAATAATTGTAGTCTATAATTTAGGACGCCTGTAACAATCAGAGAGAGGCTACTGAGAGGAGGAAGTAGAGACTGGCAGGTATCTAAGTGACTTTGGTGTGGTTACCTGCAGTAGAATTGGATCCCCTAATGAGAAAGCCCCTTTTTATCCTGTATTTCTAAGGTGTAGTGCAGAGGAATTCCTAAATGTCAATTATACAAGTATCAACAGCAGTGGGTGTAATCAACAATATTTATTAGTAGGAGGAGTGACTGGTTGCTTTTTGGGTACGCTCTGACTGGATAGAGCCACAAGGACAGTTGCGTCTCTTCTTCAGAAGACTCCAAAGGAATAGCATGTCTGACCAGGCTTGGTTTTCAGAGAAAGTTTTGCCTGATCCCTGTTCATTTGCATTGCATCAATATAATTAATCCAGTCTAACCTGTTCTAGTTCGTGGCACTCCTGCGATGGTGAGATCAAAATCAGGTCCAACATCTCTGACCGGGTACGCCATTTGTTAATACTGCAATTTAAAGGTTTTAAACATCTTGTGGCAAAACTGCAGCATAACTGCTATAAAGCTTCATGTATGTACAACGTGATTCCTGGATAGAGATCACTTCAGCTCCATAGTTATTAATTCACAGGTTTCTCGCTGACCTTAGCTCAGCTCTGGGAGCCGTGCCAGAACAATTACAGTAACTCTGAGCAGCGCAGGCATAAAGCTCCTGTATTTACTCTGAAATTGTGCCAGGTTTTCTCTGGCTCAGTGATGGAAAGATGCATTTCTTCTTTGATTAGTTTCAAATAGTTCAGCCTGGGTTGGCTATAACAAGGTTACTTCATTAAAAAAAAAAAAAAAAAAGAGGAGAAATAAGGTATTATGAGGAGGTGTGCATACACTATATACTTGCTGCATAGATAACATTAAGGAAATGCAAGCTAAAAAGGGGGGAAAGCAAGTCAAGGTGACTTGTTATCCAGAAAGTAAGTGGCAGAGTTGGAAATGAAATTCAAGGGGAATATACTTCACTTGGTGTTGTTTTCACTGAATCGTGCTATCTTTGTGGAGCACGCTGAGGCCCACCTCCTTCCTTCCTGCAAAGGTAGGGCAGCTGGAAGGCAGAGACACCAGGTGAAGCTGAGCATGCTCACCACTTGGGAGACCCAGGCCCCTGGTGATCTTCTCTGACGTTAATTGACTGTCAGACCTTGCAAAAGGGGAGGGGACACATTTCCTGATCTGTGGTTTAAGGTAGTGTTTTCCAGACTCTGGAGTGAATTTCATGTTGCAAAGGAAATGATGATGCAATCTTCCAGCAGCTGCTGTGCTCCAGCATCCTTGCAAAGGTACAGTACATATTTTGTGGGTGTATGTGTATATGCAAGCTGCATATTCAAAACCCCAGTTTTTCTTAACAGCAGGCAGGCCTCCAGGTCTCCAGACCCATCTTCCTATCCCCAGAAGAAATACTGCTAAAGGTTGCTCCCAGCAAAACTGTAGCGGTCATCCTGAAAGCGAGCTCCTGAAAAATCAAGTTTTTATGTAAGACTGCCATGGGTGTGATCTCATCTTCCTACGTGCCAGGTCTATGAGTCCTGTACCTAAAACATAGAAAGGTTCCTCATAACTGCAAGTGAAATGGCAAGAGCAACGTTCTGAATGAATATATTGTGATGAGTCTGAAAGATCAGGGAACGCGTGTCTTTGAATAGGTAAATCTAATTGATGAACGTGTGAGTCTGATGATGGAATTAACCTGATTTAATTAATTACTCCCTCTTGGTGGAACTGCGAAAACTGACTGTAGTGTGCTTTAGTCTTTTAGTTTTTAAAATCAATCACATTAAGGGAAAGTAAACAAGTTTGGTTCAGAGATGGAAGGGCTGTTACGTGCTTAGTTTATACGGCTCTGCAGATGCCCAGTGAGCTGCTGAGCTCCAGAAACTGAATCCTGTATGCTGGCCTGTCTGTGCTGGGGGTGTATGTAGCAGCGATGGCTCCCTGCCTTCATGCCCAAGCTTTTAGTTGAGCAGAAACAGACCATCTTGCCTAACATAGATGGGATGAAGATTTGCTTCAGGAAGTGTATGGGAACTGTTGGGTCACAGCCTGAACCACTGATTGAGCACCTGAGGAAGACCTGGTCAGCTGTGGGAGCACAGGTGAAGGCAATTCATCTCGTGACCCCTCTTAGACCTCATTTACAGGCTGACCAGTACTGGGGAAGCATCTCTGGTTGGGGATCTCTTCCCTGTGGAGTCTTTTCTGTAAGCCTAGCTCTTAGGACACTGCTGAGTGCCTTTATTTTCCTTTGAAATACCTTCTCATCTATGCTAGTTCTTTTGATGTTACTCTCCTGTATGGTCCTTCCACCAAGTTAATGTTTCCAATTGTAACAGGAGGTGAGTGGAACATCCAGATGGTGTGCTTGGGGACATCCCAGAAGCTCCCAACCTCCTGAAATAACTAAGTGTTCTTGATTCACACCAGGGATTGAACAGTGAAGAAGAACTGGAATGATGCCATAGTGCTCCCCAATAGGAGGTGATGAATGGGACAAGCATGTTGCTGCTCGTGCAGCCAAGTGATGAGCCAACAGTGCAAGTTCTGCTCTTGCTGCTAACAAAGCTATACCGCCTCTGCCTCAAGCTGTTTCCTGCACAGCTCTCCTTGCCCTGCGACCATCCCTAGGGCTCCGTTCAGCCAGGATCCCTCGCTTCAGGGAACACGCGGAGCTCTCCTCCCCTCAGTGCCTATCATGCCGCAGCCGGTCGCCAGCCGGCGAGCACGGCGCGTCGCGGCGGGGCGGGGCGGCGGAGGGAGGCCGGGGCTGCCCCGTGGTGGCGGCCGTTGCCGGGTAACTGGGGCCTCCTCGGCCGCAGGTGGGAGCCGTTCGGGCCCTGTGGCGGCCGGTTTCTGTTGCTGGGAGCCTTTCTTCGTGCCCCGGTCCCTCGCAGGGAGCAGTTGGTGGCAGCCCGGAGGCGCCAGAGTGTTTGTGGGAGCCGCGGGCGCCGCGTTAGCGGGCGGTTGCCTGTCCTGAGCAATCCCATCAGCTTGCCCGTGGTCATGCACCTGGCCTGCATTGTTTTCGTGGAAAACTCCATTATTTCACCATGTGAACGCTCCTGTTCATCTCAGAGTTTTCCATCCCGTTCAAAATTTTCTGGTGAGTATGAAAATGTATTAATCAAATGTACTTTTAACCTTTTACTGTTGTAATGTAGCCTCAGCTAATTCTTAAAGCCCATGAAGTGATTACCGAGTAAATAATTGTTCAGCAAATACCTTATTTTTGCATATATGTAGATTCTCCTATATCAGTCTTTCACACACTCGTGTTTCCCTCGGGAAACTTCAGCTCTGCTAGGCTGTACTGCCACTCTACAACTGCTTGAAAGGACAGGTTGTGGCCAGATGGGGGGCTCTTCTCCCAGGTAACAGCGGTAGGGTGAGAGGGAATGGCCTCAAGCTGTGCCAGAGGAGGTTCGGGTTGGGTATTAGGGAACGTTTCTTCTCCAAAAGAGTGATGATGCAGCAGCACAGGCTGCCCAGGGAGATGGTGCAGTCACCATTCCTGGATGTGTCCAAGGAAAGGGCAGATGTGGCACTGAGGGTTACAGTGGAGTCGGACTGGGGGTTGGACTTGGCAAGCATAGAATCTTTTCCAGCAGTAACAGTTCTGTGATTCTACGTGTACTGTTACGTCTCCAAGACCTACTGATCATGAATGTGTGTTGTTACAGCTGATGAAGTAGTATGAAGTAGTACTTTCTTATTGTGGAATGCTCAGAGCCTGTGGAGGTTTCATTTGAAGGCTTTGTTCTTACCGTGTTTTTGGTTTTTGTTTTGCTTTTTTTTTTTTAAAGCAGGTTATGGAGGAATCACACAAGAAATTGCACTGTGGGCAAATGCATCATTGAAGGTAAATGGAGATGAATGATTAATAAATGAAAATCTCTATAGCAGAAGGATGGAAAGAAGAAGGGGCAGAACAGCAGCACCACTGGAAGAAAAGGTGAATTAATTGAAAAGGCACAAGTGACTAAAATATCTCAGATTTCTATTTGATGTGGTTTGGTCCGATTTAAAGAATTTGTGTAAAGAACTTGAGTTTAAAAAAATGCAGCATTCAGACATGTCAGAGCTCGGAGTTGCTGTCATTAATTGGTTTTTTACTATGCTTTTTCTGGCCTATGTGTTCTCTCTCTTGGCTTTAATACTGAGAATGTGGGCAGGGAGATGGAACTTTGGGCAATGTATGCCATTACTTGTGCAAAGTGGTGTAAGAGCCATGGGTGCCCCATGCTTCTCAGCTGGCTACATAGTGAAAAGTGGGAACTTGTGTCTGTTCTGTCCTACTGTGTTCTTGGAGCTCTTATCTCAGGAGATTTGATAAATGGATACATCCATCTGTGGCAGTTTCTTAGTTCAGTCGTATACTACTGTCAGTGGGAGAGAGAACATCAGGCTTTGTCTGTGGCCTGTGATGTCAGCAGCTTGCTTTACCTCGGCTCTAGGGACCTGTTTCTATGTGAGAACAGGACTCAGATGTGATATGAGACTAAATGTGAGTTAGCATCAAACTAGATTGATTTCATCTTATTATTAGTGTCTGTGCATGCTCATTTAACTGAAGATCCTCAGGGTCATGGTAATGTGCTTATTTTCCAAGTTTGAAGTAGTACAAAATTTAATTCTGCTAAATGCTATCATTGTTTAATGCATCACACATTTGGAATTGCCAGGTTTGTTACCAATGTGAATAGTGTAACATTTGCTTGGGATGAACTATGAATAAGTTATTTTTAAGTTGGAAAACTCATGAGCTTCTCACAGAAATGAATGTGTAACTTTAATTTGCCACTGAAATGGTGTTTGTATCCCCTCTGTAGATTCCTAAGCTGTCAGCACAACCCACTTTATATCAGTTGGGTTACAAGTACTTGCTGTAGTACAAACCAGAATGTCAGATTTGCCATGATGGATGTAATGAAGGCTAATTTATCTGTATTTGAAGTAGAAGATGGCTGATGCTGGCCATTCAAAGCAGCATTATCTGATTTAAACAATAGAAATAAATTCCAAGAGCCTTTTTGTTTCATTGCAGTACCTCACATAGTGAAGTATTTGAAATGTAATGCTGTTTATCCTACAGTTTTTGCATCATGAGTTTTCATTTAATTTTCTTAGCATTGAGTTCTAACATGACTTTGATTTCTCTTTTTTTATGTGACTAGCATAAGTAATGTTTGGGTGTGGTTTTGTTTTGTTTTAGTAGAGAATCCATCCAAATTCAAAGCAATGAATATGGAGGGGGAGGGGGGAGTATATAGAATGAAAGGCTTTAAATACAGTATTTCTTCCTGAGAAAGACAAGCTGCTGTGGCAGTTCTGTGAAAATATCATCTCATAGCTGGTCAGAAAATGTTAAAACTCTTAAAAAATAATAAATAAATAAATGAAAATTGAAAACAGTATAAATTCATTTACTTTCTCTGTGCCCCTATCTTGAATCTTATGTGCAGTTCTGACCGTCCTGGAAAAGTAAATGTCAGAACTGAAATTGTTTCCATTTCTCATCTTTGTTCCATTTCATGGGAAAGAGACAAAATCAAATGAGATTCTTTTAGCTAGAAAAAGAGATGGAAAGGAGATGATGCAAAAAAAAAAAAAAAAAAAAAAAAAAAAAAAAGTTTAAATTAATGAATGCTGTGGATGGATGGATCGTCCATAATTGTGTCTAACCATTTTGACCTCATTCATAATTTTAGCCTTCACAGCAACCTATGGCAGTGCATTCTACAATTTAACCCAATACCTTGCAAAAGTATATCTCCTTTTTAAAAACTGCTTCCTGATAATCCTTTTCTGTTGGGTAATGTCACTGCTTGTCTTAAGATGTGACAAATAATTGATTCCTTATTTATCAACCATGGCTGTCAAATACAACACACCTTTTTCTCAGGATATAACTAAGTAGCAGATGTCCAGAAATGAGGACAGCGTGTCAGAGGAAGGATTGCTTTGAACTATTCTGTGTCTGATCCTGTTTGTTAAGCATCTGTTTTTGTCTGCAGTAGCGAGCTGGCCCTCTGCCTTGACCCAGCATGACAGTTATTACGCTAACAAACAGGTTGTGTTAAGCGATTTCATAAAGTTCTTTTCACTGTAAGTTGTCAGGCCTTGCTAAAATCTTGGGGGTGTCTGTTACTAAATAAGCTCCTGTGCACTGCTTGGTATTTTCCTATGAGTTAAACCAGAACTAGTCTATTTTTATTTATATATCCCATGTGAGCACCACTCTGGAAGTTAGGAACATCCCAGCACTGAAAATGACTTTTCAAATGGCTTTGCGGGTCACAAAATTTCTTGGTTTAAATGGCTTAATTATCTAATAGAATGGACTGAAAATTGTTTGGGGACAACAGAGCACTTTGAAATGCAGAAATGCTTTATGTGATGCATTTTCATTCTGCGTAGAAGTTTGGATTTCAAAAGGCTCATAAATGTAGTGCGGCAGTAGTCCATTTCTTGGATGGAATTTAGCAACACTTCTGAATGGTGGATGCTAAAAATGTGCTTAAATAAAAAACGCCAAGCATCTCTTTTCTGCAGCTTTAGGCTGTCACACAGTTCTGAGTCTGTGAGTTAGAACAGTCTGAGAATGAGCAGCAATGTTGTAAGCTTGGTCCTTGGTACTGCATTAATCTCTGCAGACAGACACTAGTGGATGCATCTCTGAGACCTCTGCCACAGAAAACAGCAGCACTGTGGTGTTTTTATTCTAACAAATAGAGAAAGCCTGCAAGGCCTTTGGATATACAGGGGAAAATGGAGAATGTGTTAGAGAAAAAACAGTGGGAGAGGATCGACTGGTGTGAATGTCTCTTGCTTTAAGGCCCAGACAAAGGCAGCAAGGCTAGTTTAAGAGCTGTATTTATGTAAGGTGAGAAGGTTGGTGGTTGTTTTTTTTGTTTGTTTTTGTTGCATGGACAGGAAAGGATAATTAGGGCAACTCCTATAGCAAAAACTAAGCAATGATGGGGTACTTCTATTTAATAGCATCCCCTGTCTTTGCAGCAACTGACACCACCTTGGATATGAATTTTTTTAATTCAGTGAAACTTTTTTGTCTATACAGGGCATAAAAATTGATGCTTTAATCTTTTGCAGCTGCTGAGAGCTGATTTCAGACTTTTTGTGCAACATGACTTCCAGCAGAATATGGCAGGATTGAGACAAATCATTTGAGAAATGTTCATTCAATCACTGACAAAAACTTTATTTTTACTAAGAAGGTAAAACTTTACAATAGTAAAAGAATATGTCCGAAGACCTCACCCACTGGCACTGACCCAGTGAGATTGTTCCTTGGGTGATGAATTTTTTTTTATGAGACACTCAGATTTTGTTTATTCTTTTTTATTCCTTCCCTGAAAATAGGGTTTCACCCTGCTTCTGACTTTCTGAATATATGGTGCAGGCTACACAGAGTCAGTGTTGGCCTCAGGTAAATAAACATCTTAAGAGGAGTGCTTCCTGAAGGTCATCTTTGTTCCAATGTACTCAGACTTGAATACAGACTGGCTGAAGGATGTGCAGTGCTGCTCTGAGGCTCTGAGAATTGGCTGGCTGCCTTTCTTCAGCCCAGCTCAGACAGAGTATGCTGGGATTTGTATTTTTAAGTCATCTCAGTCAAATCAGGAACTAAAGAAGAAACAACTTGGACAGCTGGTACTTTGATATGAGCCCTTACCTACGGGCCTTGGTGTTAACTAAACACTTATTAAATGAGATGTGGCTGATGAAGAGCAGAAAGCTTTAGCACCGTTGTAGACCATATCTTGTAGAGATGTCATGAAGAGGAAATACTTGTTTTGGGGTCCTCTTCAAAATGCCTGTATTGATATTTTAAATGATGTCAGTAGATGCTTCTACTGTTCGAGGAAAGCTGTTCAAGAAAAAGGCAGATGTGGCTCTGAGGGGCATGCTTAGCAAGCATGGTAGGATGGGTTGATGGTTGGACTAGAGGATCTTGGTGTTTTCTAACCTTAGTGATTCTTTGATTCTATCTTGGATTAGCCAAGTGATGAACTTTGTACTTGTGTAATCCTCCTGTTCACTATATGGAAAGTTATTTATGTGAATAAGTCTTTTCAGGATTAGAGCCATAAAACTATGGTGCTGAGTTAGATTTTCCTTTCTGAGCTTGCAGAGCATGTAAGCACATGAATGGGTGCCTGTGACGTGAAGAGAGTTTATCTTGTTAGGATTCTCAACTGCATGCACTGATCTTAAAATACTACTGTCTTTACAAAACCTTGCTGGTTTTATGTCCTCAGAGCATCATAGCTATATAACATGTCTACTATCTGCATTTTAAACAACTGTTGAATACTTACTTGTAATGAGAATACTGGTCCTTTTAAGCGCTAGAAAGGTAAATGACCTGGCTGGCATTTTAGAAAAAATAATTGCTTGGGTTCTTTAAATTGTCCTTTAAAGATTACAGGGTATGCAGTAGATATTAGGACAACCAATGGGGTATTAAACATGAGATCAAATCTTAATTCATCCAGTGAGGATGTACTTACCTGCATATTTTGTCTTCTGAAATAAAGAGAATATTGGAAGTAAGGTCCGAAGAGAAGAATATTAAGTGTTTTCTTACAGAAGACTTCATTAAGCTGGTGCTATAGTTCAAATTAATACCTATGCCTTGGGAATAGTCGGAAAGAATAATGTTACAGTTGAATACTTTTTATTTTAACAAAGCTGAGACTATAACGGTGAGGACAGCGTAGAAATATATTTTCCCCTGTCTTTGGCTCCAGAGATATCTGTTACATTTAAGGTAGTATCATAGGAGACCGCTGGGCAGCAAAGTCACAGGCACCCTGGAGCTGTGTTTTCCTATAACTTCCATTGCTCATATAGTACTGTTACATCCTACTGCCTGTTTTTCTTGTCTTATGCTCATGCTGGTGAAGGGTGAGGGCAGAAATCAGAAGGAAG